TTGTTCGAGCGGGCGATTGGGTTCGCTAGATGTTATGTGTAGGTAGGCATGACCAAAAGCTAACCTTAACCGTATTTTTAACCGTAACCGGACCGTTTATCAACCATAACCGGACCGTAACCGTATAAAACGGTTAAAAATTGTAACCGTTAACCGTAAAAGTAAATTAGTTACGGTTAAAAAATAATAATAACCGTAACCGTTAATTAACCGTAACCATAATTAACCGTAATTAATCGTCGGTTAACCGTACGGTTAAACGCTCGGTTAACCGCATATTTAAAATTTTAAAATAAATTATATTATAACTGTATACAATACCCATATTTAACTAATTCACTATAAATAATTGAAATCACATATATTTTTTACTTGTAAAATAAATAATATTTCATAAAATTTTATCTCCAATATTAATATTATAATAATCATCAAATAACCGTAACCGTATTTAACCGTAACCGTAATTAACCGTAACCGTATATAACCGTAACCGTCTTAACCGTATATATAATGATTAAGGTTATGGTTAAAAGAATTATAACCGTTAACCGGTGGTTAATTAACCATAACCGCATTAACCGTAACCGTGGTCATGCCTATGTGTAGGCTCGGACCATGTGGATTTGATTTCCTGACCTTAAACGCCACCGTTAAATATTCATTCTTATGATGTTTACTAATGTTTTATTTATGATGACTTTATATTTTTTGGTTATTCTTTTTCTATATATATTTGTCATGTTTAAGAACTTGTTAACTAGTTTGATGCCTTTTTCAAGGAAATTTACAGTAGAATCATATTTAGATTTGAGAAAAAATTATTTAGTTACGTAAAGAGAGATGTTACTGTACTAATATACTTGGACTTTCGGGAAAGAAGAGATGGTAATGTTTGACAGCAACTCTCAGTCTACACCAAAACACTTTTGAGTCTTTGATAAATGACCCACTAAACCAATACATGATGTAGAGTGATGTAACACCGATATCATGTCTTTAAATTATGGTAAAATATTATTATAATTGTCAATTATAATGGGTTGATTTAAAAATTAGACTTTTGAACTTGAATGTATGAACTAGACCCGTTGACCGTGACAAAACTGAAAACGTGGAGACAAATAAAAAAGCAATATCGCATGTTGCTAGTTGCTAGTTGGTGAACAAAAAGTCAGATAAATTTCGTAAATAGCTCAAAAAAATAACATGTTGGCCTAAAATAAAATTAAGTGAGCGATATAAAGACTTTTAAACATTAATATAAAGAATTACATTATTAAGTTCGTCGGTAGAGAGAAAAGTAAAGAAATTATTTTCAAAAAAGTGAAAGAAAGGTAAGAATAGTATTGTTTTTCACTTTTAGACGACTTTTTTTTCCCCCGGCCAGTGTCCGTTATACGACTAATGGTTCATGTAAAATTATAAATTAATGGGTCGCTAAATATTAATAATACCGCCCATGTTTCATACGTAAACCGTGTCCTTCTTCTAGACTTCTACTATATAGTCTAAGACATATACACCGTTAAAGGAGAGATCAAATACATCACCATCCATTACCACAATTAATCCTCAGATATGGCAAAGCTCATCCTCATCATCATCTCCCAAATCCTCCATTTCGTTGCCCTTGTCTCCGCCGGAAAAGGAGAAAACTTTGCAAAGACCATTAACAAAAAACACCTCGGCCTCCATAAGGAGAAACTGACTCATTTCCGTGTCTACTGGCACGACATTCTGAGCGGCTCGAACCCTAGCTCGGTCGTGATCAACCCTCCTATCTCCAACTCTTCCTTCTTCGGATCGGTGACTGTGATCGATAACCGATTGACCACGGAGGTCGCGGTGAATTCGACTCTATTGGGTCAGGCGCAAGGGATCTACGCTGCTACTGGTCAACGTGATGTGTCTGCGCTTATGGTGATGAACTTTGCGTTCAAGACAGGCAAGTACAACGGAAGTACAATCACGATTCTTGGTCGGAACGCTGTGCTCACCAAGGTTAGGGAGATGCCGGTGATTGGAGGAAGTGGACTGTTCCGGTTCGCTAGAGGGTATGTCGAGGCTCGGACCATGTGGTTTGATCAAAAGTCGGGAGATGCTACTGTTGAGTACAGCTGTTATGTTTTGCATTATTGATGAATGTGTCTCTCTTTTTCTAATGTTTAGTTAAAATATTCTATATTGGCTTTTTGTCTGCTTAAAGTGATGGATGATGATTAAATTGTGTTGAGAGATATTTATGCCTTTTTGATAGATTTTGATGCTTTGTTTCTTACGCGTGATTTTTTTTTCAGCTAAAAATAAAGTGTGTAATTTTGATACACAAAAAAAAAACGAAAATATCATCCTCAATGTATTGCCGCGACAAAAAGAAAAAAAAAGTATTAATTAATGTGACATCTCATACTATAGTTTGGCATGATTGAGATTAATTTTGCCGACGCCGGTATCGAATTGGTCCGGTTGGTTAAGCATTCACGTAAGGCTACTTTGTAATTTCTGTATGAGTGCTGATAATGACCATATAAACATTTTAACATATTTGCTTTCGATATTCTCGGGTGCGTCTATATGTTTGGAATAGCGGTCAAAGTTTTCCTTACACATGATGTTTGTACATGTACTTTGTATTTGCAGTTGACATTTTGCATCCACCTAGCTCAATACATTTGTGTGAGGACTTTTGCGCTTTTCTTGGCTACATGTTGCGTTTAGTTTTTGTTTTTATTTCACATTCTTGTGTTGCATTAGTATAGGTATATATATCTATGTGTGTTATGTGTTTTTGGCTGGGTGAAAACTGCGTACGTGTTCATGTGTTTGTGATATCCTAACTAAGGTTTTGTGTCTAAGTTGAACCTAAAAATGAACTTATGTGATCTACTCAAAAAAATAAAACGCAGCCAACAAGTAAATAAAAATTTAAAGTCAGAAAAAAAGGTCGTACCTGAGAAAGAAGAGCCCAAAGCTTTTCTTTTCTGAAGAGGAACAATCCTATGGGTCATGCTCTGCTTCAAAGATTAAAGGCTTCAAACTGCAAACGGTACTTTCCATAAGGTCCAACTGCTTCTAAACGGTGTCTTAAATTTAAGTCCTGCAAGTTTAATATGAACACTTGTTAATAAACCCTGAAATATATTTAAAAAATTTACTACAAGATATTGAACAATCATGACCTATGCAATTCTTGAGTATTGCGAAATTTATATGAACAATCTATGAATTATACTTGTCTTTGTGGCTTTCTCAGAAAAAGTTTGAAAACACATTAAAAAAATAAAGTCCTTTGGTCTTTGCCTCAAACCTTGGACGAACTCTTGCTACTACTACTAACAGTGTATTCAAAAATTGAGGAAGCAATAGAAAATAAGGACATTACCTGAAAAACGCAGACGAAGATTGTTGAAATGGAGACAGAGATATCAAAACTTTGTCGTATATGAAGTTCCTTCTCTGATAAATCAAGCTAGCAGATATAGAATTATAAATTCAAAGGTAATCAGTAACACTATATATGGAAATTAAGAGAGAAGGAGAGAAGTCTAACCTGAGACAGATCATGCACACACTACATACCTCAATTTTTGGTCTTTAGAAGCTGAAAAGATTAACTCCAACGAGGGCAACTTTTGTGAATATCATAACTTGGTGTAAAAGATTAACTCCTATCGAGAAGCAATACATATCTCTAATATCAAACTTTCCTATCGAGAAGGTTATATATATGCAGATCATTGAATATATTACTGTCCCAGTCCAGCAATACATATCTCTAGTATCGAACTTTCCTATCAAGAAGCCTTATTAATAGCATCATCAAGCAGAATATTGATTATCATGTCTCCAGCCCGACAAGATAGTATTTTACCAAATAACAGAGTTTCTCAACTTCTGAAACTTCATCATACAAGCCTTAAAAGTATGCTTCCTTATCTATCAATATGCAGATCACTGAATACATTACTGTCCCAGTCCAACAATACATATCTCTAATATCGAACTCTCCTATTGAAAAGCCTTATTAATAGCATCATCATGCAGAATATTGAATAATCATGTCTCCAGCCCGACAAGATAGTACCAAATAACAGAGTTTCTCAACCTCTGAAACTTCATCATACAAGTCTTAAAAGTATGCTTCCTCATCTATCAATATGCAGATTACTGAATATATTACTGTCTCAGTCCAACAATACATATCTCTAATATTGAACTCTCCTATCGAAAAGCCTTATTAATAGCATCATCATGCATAATACTAAATCCTCATGTCTCCATCCCAACAAGATAGTATTTTACCAAACAATTGAGTTTCTCAACCTCTTAAACACCATCACACAAGCCTTAGAAATACGCTTGCTCATCTATCAATATGCAGATCATTGAATACTATATTACTGTCCCAGTCCAGCAACACTCATGTATAAGCCAACAAGACATTTTTTCCTCCCTTAATATGCAGAACCTTGAATATTACATTGCTGTCACAGTCTAGCAATTTATATCTCTAAGCAGACATATGAACTATCATGTCCCCTGCCCGACAAGATAGAATTTTAGCAGATTACTGAAGTTTCTCATTCTCCGATTCATCATAAGACAAAAGCCTTGACAATTCGTTGGTTCCTTTATATGACAAGCAGATCATTGAATTTTTATATTGCTGTCCCAGTCCAGCAACACATATCTTTAAGCAGATCATTGAATATTTATATTGCTGTCCCAGTCCAGCAACATATATCTTTAAGCAGACAATTGAACTAAAAGCTCAAATATTGCAACACCCATAAACAAACCGTATAAGAATAGGGCATGTGATGTGCTCCTCCCATAATATGCAGATCATTGAATCTCCTCCCATAATATGCAGATCATTGAATCTCCTCCCATAGCTTTCCCAGTCTAGCAATACCCATGAGACACACCCATAAACAAGCCTTATCATAATTTGCAGATCATTGAATATATTTATATTGCTGTCCCAGCCCAACAATACATATCTTTAAGCAGACAATTGTACATAAGTTTCTAATATGGCAACACCCATAGAAAAGCCTTATAAAAAGGACATTTGTTCCTCCGTTGATATGTGCAGATCATTGAACCCTATATTACTGTCCCAGCCCAGCATTATGTATCTTTCAGCAGATAATTAAATATTTGTATCAATACTGTCCCAGCCCAGCATTATGCATCTTTCAGCAGATAAATTTTTTATATTTGTATCAATACTGTCCCAGCACAGCAAGATAGCTTTAAGCAGACAATTGAATCAAAGTTTCTAATAAGGCAACACCCATAAACAAGCCTTATAAAAAGGACATATGTTCCTCCATTGATATGCAGATCATTGAACACTAGATTGCTGTCCCAGCCCAGCGTTATATATCTTTAAGCAGATAATTGAATGTTTGTATCAATACTGTCCCAGTACAGCAAGATAGCTTTAAGCAGATAACTGAATATTTGTATCAATATTGTCCCAGCTCAACAAGATACTCAACGTGCGGACATAATTGTGACAAGCCTTACTTAAAAGGATGTGTATCCTCTGTTTTCAAGCATGGTCGTGCTTGTTTTAGGCAACATGGGACGGTAAAAAGGGACAATTTTCCCAAGTAGAAACCGGACATACAACAATCATAAGTGTTGTCATCCCTTTCTTTTGGGTTTGAAGAAAACAAAAAAAAAAACCAAACAAAAACTTTTGAAAAAAAAGAAAAAAAAAAAACTGATTCTAACGAATCGAAAACCTTAAATTCTTAAAACAGTTTTTGAAATCAAAAACCTTAAGAATTAAAGATGTAACGACGAGATAGAAGTGTTTTTTTTTTCTGGAAAAATTGAAAACTACATTCAAATTCGAATCTGAGAAAGAGGTTTTAAATCTACGAAGACCCAGATATCGAATAGAAATCATAGTTCCCAAAAAAGAAAGGGTTTTTAAAAACTAAAGGAGGTTCGAATCCGAGAAAACAAAAACACAAAACTTTAAAACCTTCGAACCCAAAAAAGCATTGCAATCACAAAAAAAAAAAAAAAACAGAATCCATGGAATACACGCGATCAATAGAAACTTTCAACAAATTAGACAAACAAAACCTTGCATTGGTGATGATGTCCTGTTGGAGAAAGCTTCAATCGGTGTTCCAATGGAAAAACAAAAAACAATGATGAGAAGTGAAGAACGATCCTCATAAACATTATTAAATATGATACTTTCGTAAAGAAAAAAGGAAACAGTTAACTAAAAAAAAGGAAATTTTCCTTTTCTACAAGTAATGTGTTAATGGGTTTCGTGAAATTGTGTTGGGCTTATACAAAAACATCATCGGCCCATAAATATTATTTTGTTAAATAAATTGTCCAGTTACATCCTGCCACGTTGTTGGTAGGTCAACTTAAACTCAATTAAATTGTATATATTCAGGGTCAATCATGTAGTTAGTTCTTCACACAGACTCAACATTATTTGTACTGATGAATTATATTTTCCATTTTAAAAAGTGTGTAAGTTCATATGGTCCATTGTCATCCACACCGCTCACTTTTCCTCAGCCTTCCCAATCAAACGAGGACTGTACCAAAAGCCATTTAACATGTTGGTTTTACAAATCAAGAACCCATCAAAGTTGGCTACGATATATCCCACCCCAAATACATAAAACTTAAATAACGTTTAAATACACATTACGATCCCATGCCACCTAAATACACAAACTATGTAGACCAAAAATAACATCGTTGCCAATTATTAATATCATAGCAAATGGCTTTTTATATTAATACATACATTTGTTTGTTTGATAAAAAAAAAAGTTTCCACAAATCGATATTTGTATTGATGGAAAAAGTTAACGTAAAAGCTTCACGACCTATATATGCTTTTGCTCCACTAACATCTGTATCTTTTTTACCATGCCTTTACTGAGCCATGCACGTAAAGTCAGTCGCTCCCCTGTACGTCTACGTCGTATGATGATGATGCTATATATCGCAATTAGAGAAAAATTGAACTCGACCTCGTGTGTTAAATTTGTTTGGTTACCACTTAAGAACTTGCTGATTAAATTTCGGAAAGACACCTACTCGTCTCAACTCTCAAGCATGGTGTGAGTGTGTGAAGACATGAAAACATATGTAAAATTCATAAGATAGAAAAAAGGTTTGGTGTATATATCTGCCGTCTTGTCTTGTGGGACGGTGTGATCGTTGTGTGTGATTGCCTTCGCCAAACTTCAAATGATGTATTTGAATTGACTGAGATAATTTAATAGTTTGCAATATCATTAGCAACGCGTTATATATCATCCAAAATTACAAATTATAATTCGATAAGAGATGCATGTTTTGCTAATTTCAATTTCTTTTAGTTGATCCTGATTCCATATATTTCTGTAACGATCTAGAACGTCAACTACTATTTCGTATCAATAATATGTGTCAAAACAAGATTAAAATTATGATCTCCCAAGTCACCACCACTTGCATCCTGCCACGTTGATAGGAGTCAATCAAAACTCCGTTACTAAAATAATAAAGCATACGACTAACTGATGAGGAGATTTGATGAAGGTCTAGTGATCTTAAAGTCTTCTCTGATCAGTGACATAACCAAGTGTAGTTTCATTTTGCATGCATACCTTTAAATTTTCTAAACGTTAATTGAAATGTTATAACCGCTATTAGGAGGAAAAAGAAGAAGAAATCACAAGAATTGTGAAGAACAGAAACAAAGTAACTTTTGTACAAAAAAAGAGAAAGAAATAAAGTTACTTTTTTGAAAGTAGTAAATCCACTATCAATATATATGCAGAGTACGACGAACTAATGCACATCGATTGGTCTTTGTCACACTTTAATTGGAGAAATCTCAAATAGAAAACGTGCCTTATCCTTCTCTATATATACATGCACAAACACTCGTTCATATAGCACATACCTTATCATCTAGAGACACAAAAACCACGAATATTACACACATATATATAACTAAGTACAACATGACTAAGCTCATCCTCATCCTCGCCGCACATATCCTCATCCTCGCTGCCGTTGCTTCCGCCAGTGACTTCGCAAGAACCATGAACGAGAAACACCTTGACATTTCCACAAAGGAGAAACTCACTCATCTCCGACTCTATTGGCACGACTCCTTATACGGTAGACACCCTAGCTCCGTCACAATCCAAAAACCTGTCTTCAACTCTTCCTTATTCGGAATGATTACCATGATGGACGATGCACTGACATTGGATGAATCGAGGAATTCGACTGTGGTGGGTAAGGCGCAAGGGATCTACGCTGGAGCGGCACAAGGAGAGATTGGCTTCTTGATGGTAATGAACTTTGCTTTCACTACAGGGAAGTACAACGGGAGTACGATCGCGATTCTTGGCCAGAACAGAGTGATGTTGAAGGTTAGGGAAATGCCAGTGGTCGGAGGCAGTGGAATGTTTCGGTTTGCTAGAGGTTATGTAGAGGCTCGCACCAAGTTGTTCGATCTCAAATCCGGTGATGCCACTGTCGAGTATAATTGTCATGTCTTGCATTACTAATGTAACATTTGCATTTTGCTTTTGTGTTTGTTATTGTAGCTGTCGTGTGATAGTTATGATGAGACATGAGAGTGTTATTGTCTTTTCTCAATATTGTAATGTGGTTTGGTATCATCTATGAAATAAAATAATAAGAAAAGTAGTTGGTTTATACAGTAAAACAGAGCCATTTGGGTCAAATTAACTGGCACAAGGTTCTTCATTTCCTTGTTAAATTAATGATTTCGAAAATTATCAACTGATTAGTGAATATGTACTAACATTATTTGAGTTTTCTTGATATAAAAATAAAATACAATGATTAGCCCAATCATTCTAGAGCTAATCAAAAACATATTTTGTTGTCTATTTGTCTCAGAAGAATTTTGATGGAGAAAAAAGAATAAAAGGTAACGAGGAAATCAACTAATACATTATATGTCTATCTTTACTTTTTTTTTTTGATTGAAATATAAAAATGATTCAAAATAGTAAACATACATATAGTATGACCATAGTAAGAAAAAGAAAATCACATTTTTGTTTATTTATTAACAAAAACGTGTGAGACCTTTTGTGAATTTTTTTTGTTTTTTGTTTTTTTTTTGTCATGTAGACCTTTTGTGACCTAAAACGTTCATTCACATTATTATTATTACTTTATTTGTTACATTATTATTAAGCAAAAAATGTTAATTTGATTTTCCTTTTTTCTTTTGTTTTGGTTTCTTCTTCTTTACAATAGCTGACGTGTGACACATCCGTCTCTCTCTCTTTCTCTATTTTGGGAATTTTCATCCATAGATCTTTTATTTTAATTTAATTTTTGTTCTTCTCTTCATCGCCCAACTCGAACCGTCGTAACCCTAAAATCGCCCGAAATCAAAAGTTTCTTCATCGGCAAATCGAATCTGCTCCGATTATATATTTTTCAAATCGCTTACCAAATCCGACATGAGCCAGACCCTCGTTTTCAGAGGACTATAATGATCGGACTCTTCGTGTCCCGTCTCGATTGCATGGGGTTTGAGCTATGCCGGAGCTTCGCCGTGGAGTCCGCCGTGGCCGTGTTACTGACGCTGTAGCTCCCAATCAGCTTCCGCAGAAACCTACCGAAAAGAAACCGAGGAAGAGTAACAACGTTAGAACCCGGAAAGCGGTTGCCGCCGGAGTTACAGGAGCTACGGAGAGGCCGAGGACTAGATTAGCTGCCAGGAAACTGAAGGAGGAAGACAAGGAGGTACCTCAGGAGAATCCCGTTGTTGTTCTGCCCAAGGATACCGATATCGATAAATCTAAAGGTAAAGAGGTTGTCGCTGAAGAGGAGAAGAAAGATATGGCGATTGGTAACGATAGTGGTGGCTCTAACAAGGCGGCTGCACAGGAAGAAGAAGGAAATACTGCTCCTTTCCCTGAGAGGGTATCAATTTTTCTCTTTTTTTTTTTGCTTGGTTCTTCCATTTCCTCGATGCATAGTTTGTGAAATGTTTTGCCTTGACTCCTGTGGTTTATGCTCTTCTTTGTTTTGCCGTTGTATTTTGGCTGGTTTGGTTTGGTGTTTTTGCTGTTCTACTAACTAATTGTAGACTTACTTATTCTTTTTGCGTGGTAATGACTAACGATTCTGTCTCTATCAGGTCCAAGTTGGAGGATCTCCACTATATAAGGTTGAGAGAAAGCTGGGGAAGGGTGGTTTCGGACAAGTATTTGTGGGACGTCGTATTAGTGGCGGTAACGAGCGTAGTGCTGGAGCCAGCATCTTGGAGGTAATGTAATCCAGTTTGTGTTACTACTGTGGCGGATTGTCACAACAAAAGTCCTTTTTACTAGCTTAATTATGTGTATAATGTCTCACATCTTCAATTTATTATGTAGGTTGCTCTAAAATTTGAGCATCGGAGCAGCAAGGGTTGTAACTATGGTCCTCCGCATGAATGGCAGGTGTACAAGTGGGTGTTCGATTCTCCTATCTCTCTTTCAATCATTCTTAAATTTGTTTACCTGGATTTTTGGTGCTTCCTTGACTTGAACTGTGTAATTAACATCTTACTTGTATTGTGAACAGCACCTTGGGAGGTAGCCATGGAGTCCCTAGAGTACATTTCAAAGGGAGGCAAGGAGACTATTATGTTATGGTGCTGGATTGCTGCTTTCCCCGCTCCTTTCTGCGTTTCTCCTGTCTGTATCATTCATGTTAAATCCTCTCTCTTTCTTCTTTTTTGTTGTTCTCAGGTTATGGATATGCTTGGGCCGAGCTTATGGGATTTATGGAATACTTCAGGGCAAGCGTGAGTCTCATTACACATCCTCTAGGGAGCTCATGTCTCTTTCCTCAATTAGCGTAGTTTTCAGTACATGAATATCCAAATTTTATTTGGTTTCGTTTTGGAAATGTAACTAAAATGTTACACTGAGTGCTTTGTATTGCAAAAAACCCGTTAATGGTTGACATATGATTGTTCTAACAATTATTTTCCCCTTTTGCTTTGCAGAATGTCCTCGGAAATGGTAGCTTGCATTGCGGTTGAATCACTGTCTATCCTTGAAAAGATGCATGCAAAAGGGTTTGTAATTGATTTTTTTTTTTTGGTTTCTATATTGAACTTGTTTGCCAAAGGTTTCTTCTTATATATCTGTTTTGAGCCTCGGCAGGTCTAAGTTATTATGTTTTCTCTCTACTAACTAGCCTAATGGGTCATGATTTGATTTGGTTTCAGTTATGTGCATGGAGATGTTAAGCCGGAAAATTTCTTACTCGGCCAGCCTTCCACTTCACAGGAGAAAAAGCTGTTTCTTGTTGATTTGGGACTAGGTTGGTTGATTTCATTCACTTTTTTATTCTTGCTAGGTTTTTCTGTACCTTTCTCATTTTCTTTAACCAATTTTTTCAGCAACAAAGTGGAGAGAAGGTGGTAGCGGACAACATGTTGAATATGATCAACGTCCTGATATGTTTAGGTAATATATTTTCTACTGTTACCTAATTCAAATTTTTATAATCACACCCTTACTCTTTTCTTGAAACTCTCTTCTTAATTTTTGTAGGGGGACAGTTAGATACGCAAGTGCCCATGCTCACTTGGGAAGAACTGCAAGCAGAAGGGATGATCTTGAATCATTGGCATATACATTGATCTTCCTTCACCGAGGTAGACTGCCATGGCAAGGATATCAGGTACTGCAGACCTATCTTTTTTGTTTTGTAGAATGTTGTTAGCCTCATTCTTTCTCTGCTAATCCTTTCTCTTCCTCAATTTTCAGGGAGATAACAAATCATTCCTTGTTTGTAAAAAGAAGATGGCAACATCACCAGAGATGCTTTGTTGTTTTTGCCCCCCTCCTTTCAAGCAGTTTCTTGAGATCGTGGTAAATATGAAATTTGACGAAGAACCTAACTATGGCAAGTTAGTATCTCTATTTCAAGACCTCTTGGGCGAAAATCCGGCAATTAGGCCTATAAACACAGAGGGTGCTCAAAAGGTGACGTTCTCATACTGTACATCATTCCCTTTCTTTTCTGTTAGTACATTTTGGAGTTGTTGTTTAACGTCTTGTTTTTTTTTGTTTTTGGTTGTGCTAGATCATTTTCCAAGTTGGACAGAAGCGAGGTAGGTTGAGCATTGGGGAAGAAGAAGAAGATGCCCCTAGGAAAAAAGTCCGTCTAGGAGTCCCTGCAACGCAATGGATATCGATTTACAATGCCAGGCAACCAATGAAGCAGAGGTAAAAAAGTTCATGGTTAATTATTCAGTCAGTTATCTGACCAGGACTGCGTTTATGTCTTGGTTACGTTATAATCTTAGATTCTTGGCTTCAATGTGTCTACAGTTAAATAGTTTTTGGACTGACGATCTACTTGTTCAACCAGGTATCATTATAACGTGGCTGATATAAGACTGGCACAGCATATTGAAAGAGGTATTGCAGATGGTTTGTTGATAAGCTGTGTATCGTCATGTTCGAATCTCTGGGCATTGATAATGGATGCTGGAACTGGCTTCACTAACCAAGTCTATGAACTTTCTCCTGTATTCTTGCACAAGGTAATCCGATATTTCTCTGTAAAACTATTCTTATGTTTGTGTTCTGTCAGTATAATCTTACCTGAGAGCGAACTCTGTTCTGGATCAGGAATGGATTATGGAACAGTGGGAGAAGAACTACTACATTAGTTCAATTGCTGGTGCAAACAATGGAAGCTCTTTAGTTGTCATGTCAAAAGGTATCTATGCTTTTCCTGCTTTCATGAAAACTTTACATTCTTTATTCATGAAGGTGTTTTACTAGACTCTAAATTTTGTGGCTTATTCTATGTTTGGTTTCAATGTATTGTAAAGGTACGCAGTATACACAGCAGTCTTACAAAGTAAGTGATTCATTCCCATTCAAGTGGATAAACAAGAAATGGAGAGAAGGCTTCCATGTAACCTCAATGGCAACAGCTGGAAGTCGGTGGGGAGTTGTTATGTCCCGCAATTCTGGCTACAGTGAACAGGTTAGACTTCAATGGTTCTTCATATTTTACTTTCATCCTCCTCTTCGTCCAGTTTATAGATTTGCAAATGTTGATTTCTGATCCAGTGAATCACCATTGTCTGCTTATCTCTCTACAGGTTGTTGAATTGGATTTTCTGTATCCAAGTGAAGGCATCCATAGGCGCTGGGATGGTGGATTCAGAATCACATCAACAGCAGCAACAACCGATCAAGCTGCTCTCATCCTAAGCATCCCACGCCGTAGATTGGTCGATGAGACGCAAGAGACATTGCGTACCTCTCAATTCCCCAGCACACATGTTAAGGTGAGATTGTTTTAAAGGATTACTAATATCTATATCTACATCTCCTTAGAGTAACTTAAAAAGATTTGCTGATCTCAAGGTAATATCTAAAGATGGTGCATCGTTTTACTTCCGTTTGTGCAGGAAAAATGGGGAAAGAATCTCTACCTCGCATCATTAAGCTATGGCCGAACTGTATCTTGAGACTTGGTAAAAATGTTGTAGGACGGGAGATAGATGTTTCTAAGTCTCTACTCCTATTCCGTACCCAACCCTCTGGCCTCTCAGGCTCTGTTGTGCTTTTTTTTTTTTTTTGTCAGTTGAATTGTGAAGCAACGAAGTGGTGATTGTTTTGTTTCCTCTCGACTTCAATTGTGAAGGGGATTGAGGCATAATCACCAGTTTAGCTACACATTTCCATCTAAATTGCTATCTAATTTTTATATCAAGAAAAGATATTTTTTGTTATTATCTAAACAACATGAGTAATCCAATTCAAAACATATCAGGCAGTAGAATTCGTCACTGTTCTCTCCATACACGACCTGAAACCTTCAACTTCAGTTCTTTGTTGCTGGTGTTATCTGTAGAAAAGAACATAGCTAATTTGCGAGTTATAATCAAGCCATCTTGACTATCACGAACCGTCTTGTGACTGTCACGAATGCTTCTTGGCACGCCTTGCCATTTCAGCTTTCTGCCATTACCACCGACCTCCAAACTATAACTGAAGTTCATTGCTTCTTCTTCATCTCCTATAAACTGCACGAAGGCTATGTACATTGGTGTTCTCCTCAGGTGGAATGCTTCGAAGTATAAGCAGAATTGTCGACCAAAGCAATCCAGAAGCTGCATCGATTTGTGTGGGTTAAAAACTCACAAAGTTGCAGAAATCAGAGCGAGAGAGAGTTATAACTCACCGTTAACATCCAAGTAGCATGATGAAGATGTTTAGGATTATGATGAACATATCTATGACTGAAACTACGGCCATCATGCATATCAACATTGTGATCATTCCTTAGATGCAAAAGCAGCCATGGAATATCTCCTGTGACACTACACTTGGATCCAGAGTGTGGACAATTGTACGGTTTCGTCTTAGAGTTCTCATTGTTGACCTCTTTGGTGTGGCCGATGGGACACTGTAATACGATCTCTGTTACTAATCCTATTCGTATTGTTTTAGTATCAATATCATATTATATGCATACCTGGTAGATTGCAGTGGACATCTGGTTTGTACAAACCGGTAAATCGAGTAATTCATGAACCCGAGATTGGATCTGAAGGTCAGTGATTCGAGGTTCCATTTTCGCTGGAAATCATGAAATAACTAAGGCAAGCGATGAAGTGAAAGAGGAGACATGTGTTTGTATGTGTATATCATTTGCAAATACCCATCACCACATAGATACGTTTACGTTGTTTCAAGTTTCAACGTCCAATTATTGGAGACAACGTGGAGTAGATGGTTAATGACTTAATGTAATAGTTGGCTCCGGAAATTGCGTACGTCAGAGAGCTTAATTGTAGGGGAAAAAATAATACAAACAAAAATCCATATCGTATATGACTTGTGACTGTAATTACAAATTAGTCAAGGTTCTTGGTTACACGACACTCATGAGTAGCAAGTATCCAATTGAATCTTGCAAGTTGTAACCATCCATTTCAAGATGCCAAGTGGACAAATGAGTCTTAACCAAATCAAATAATTGTATTCCAGTATATTATTTTATTAAGACCTGAAAACTGCTGATTGATCTTTGTAATCAGTCATGGTTCAGCAGCTAAGCAAATTGCATGGGAAAAGAAGAATTGAAAGATGAAAGATCTTGCCTGCAACATAAGATTACGCAGTTTCTGATTAACTCAAAACCGCAAGAATCTAAGCAGAGTGTTGGGGATAACTTCATCTAAAATACAGGGCTTTTGGATCTGAGCTTAAAAAGAGTAAAGAACGATACAATCCGAGCTTCCGTTTATGCATCTATCCTCCTGGAAACTTGTTGTAAGCGAGAAAAGAAAACTGTCATAAAGGCATCGAAATACCTGCAAATTCAGAGAAAGGGTTCATGTCACTGAGTTGAACTAAGAAACTTAACCGAAACTAGAACTAATGTGTGATTGATTGGCTCAGATCCGTACACACACATGAAAGGGTTAAACTTCATCAGATTCACAAACAAAATAACAATGCTATATGATCAGATAATTCTTAAGTTTTCCAATGTAAGTCCTCATCTGAAGACCTAACTGTAGTTTTCAATTCCAATCACAATGCACCATCACAATTCTCTAATATATTCGGTGTATATCAGATTACATAGAATGTGTTGTGTAATAATGATAAACATAAGTAAAGTAAACCTACATGGTAATTCCAGTGCTCTGCTGAATCTTAGACCAGTAAAATGATTAATATCAAAACAAAAAACTGACCTTGAGGAACTAATCCCCAGATTTTGGATTCAATGGACAAACTTGAGACAAGCCTGGACGATGCTATAGCACTGTGTAGAGGTATCATCGAACTCAACTCCACTGGTAATCTGAAGAAGAAATAAAACATCAATGAAGTTCATCAAAATTGCAATTTTCTTAGAAAGATTTTGACTTTGTTGATTCAGATTTCAAATTATCAGCAACGAATCGACTCAGAATCCATAAGATTCCAAACCCATTAATGGTGAGGAGAAAAAATGGTTTTTTTTTAAATCTATTGATAGTGAAGTTATACAAAAAAAACAGACCTTGAAGATCGACTGAGACGACAAGTTGGTGAGGAAGGTGAAGCAGATTTGATGGGAGAAGGGAGTGATGAAACATTAGCATTCTTGTTGCTGAGGTTTTGGCATAGAGGCTTTAACCGAGACGAGAATCTGCCTAACACTCTTGAATACGCCATTGCCAGGAATTAGCAACAAAATGTGTGATCTGATCTGATCGGACATTTAGGGCTTAAGGGTTTCTGAGTCCCGGGTCGGGTTACGGGCCTATGGGTCGGGCTCAAAGCAAAGTTTCAACCTTTACTCCAACCAATGAAATTAAAGTGAAGAAAGAAAAAATAAAATAAGACGACCGGAATCGAATTTAGGGTTGAAAGACGTTTCTCGGTCTCTTCTGCTCGCAATTTCTCTTGAGCAATTCGTCTTTCGACTTGGTATTTTTAAAAAGAGTCACAAAATCGGAAATTTCGAGCTCTGAATTCGGAACCAGTGATGTAAGAAAACTCAAACTTGTAGATTTCTATTATGTTCTGTTCTGTTCTCTGTTTCGATCAAACACAAAAGTTCTTATTTTTGTGCCCTTAATATTATAGTAACTGATTTCGTTTCCATTGCGTATTTGTATATTGAAGTTTTTGACCAGCTAAGGAATTAGTTTGGAAAAGCAACGAAAGAAAATGGGAAGCAGAGGTAATCGTGTAGGAGAAAGGTGGAATCAGATGGATTGTGATGAGAAATCGAGCGTGATTCAGGAAGAGATCAAAAGGGTTTGTAAACTTCCTTCAAACAGTGTTTATGCAGTTCATCGTCTCAAGGTTCTCAACAAAATCAACGAGCTTTTATCTGTCCAAGTAAGTTTATCATCATCTTCACACAACTACCAAAACCTTTGATACTCACCATTGATTAAACTCAACTTAATCTCAGCGATTTTGTTTCTGTGTTGTGACAGAGAACGTTGTCTCAAGAGAAGGAGTTAGAGTTGCTCTTCACACAGCTCTCTCTGTAAAAATCAACATTTTGATGTACTATGTTGTGCCCCCCGTTTGGGATTATACGTCGGTCTATTTACTAATGTAATTTTAACATTTTTACTCAACATTGCTGGTTGATCAATGATATGGTGTTTCTGGGTTCCTTAAGGACATGTGTAAAACTGCAAACGTTTCTGCAGTGCAGTGTATCTCAACTCAAATAATCAATTTGTATAGCATGTGAGCTCATTCTCAAATATACCTTTTGTTTCTTCCCAACTTAATGGAAAGAAGCAATTCAAAAGAAGAACAAAGCTCTCATGTTCTCAGAAGATACGTCTGCATTCAGAATGCTCTTGAATGAGAAAGTAGATCTGCCTTCAGAAACCTGAGAACTTTGTTGTAAGCCTCAATCATGTTGTTGAATTAGCAATTTCTTGTTAAGCTTTGTTTAACATGCCAGTTCTATGTAGTTGATTAATTTGAATATTTTGATTTCTATCTGCTAGCTGCGTTTTAAATGTTGGATCACTGTGCGTTAAGGACAAATTGAATCAAGCTTCTCACTACATTTCTCTCTAAGCAAACGTCTTCATTTATGCACTCTTTGTTTTTGTTTCTTTTGTGTGCTATACACATAATGTGTTGCTTTTTCATGTGTATGTCACTGCCTTCTTCTTTGGCCTTCATGTGCTTTTCTTTGGCCTCATGACTTGACGAAGAAGTTTCTCTGACAAAGAGTTATCATAAATTCCCAACGGGAACGCTCTTTGACAATATAAATCTCTTAGAATTATTAACAAACTGAAAAGTTTCTTTTAACTTATTTTTTATTTTGTGAGTTGGTTGTGATTGTGAAGAGTCGTTTAATAGTGGATATATAATCTAAAGACCATCCAGATGAAAAGAATCAAGGACTCTGTTTCGACTCCAGGAATGAATACAATTATTACAAACAATGACATGCACTAAATTAGTCTCTTAGCATATATGATTTAAGTTAAGGCCCTACTTTGGTTATATATCACGAGTGACATGAACAATTGAAAGAAGAGTAAAACATTCAAAAGCCAAATTATTTATTAGACGATAAATAACAAAAACTAATAATTGTCAAAAGAGGGTGATGAAAGAAACAACTGAAAACGATATATATGTAATTTTAACGTGACAGAGAAGCTATAACGGCTCTGTGTACCATAAGACCTTTATCAAATTGTTTCTGTTTATAGTAGTAGTAAATAACGTGGAGTCAAAAGAAGACGTGTATAGCAAGTGTTACTCTTCAACTCAAGGTATACTTACTTTCTGTCTTCATCTATTCCCCTTCGTTTAAGCTATCTTGACACTTTACTCAGTTCCATGGATATGATGTAAGTGAACTGGTGAAGCAGTGTCTGTGAAATTCAAGTTGGAATCTTTTTTCTTTTCTGAGTGAATATAGGAAAAGTTCTTAGAACGCTTTGTCGGAAAACCTAGCTATGGCGAGAGTATCAAAGGTTCAACCACAAGTTAAAGAGCATAGTTAAACAAAGATTATAAATCTGAAGAGAGACAGAGATGCTTTTTTGTAAGGGAACGTTGATTCTCTATTTCATTGTTTTAGTATACATGGCGCCGTTTCAGAAACATTAAAAAATGCCCCAACAATGACAAAAGGAAATAAGACAAAGCAGAACCTATGTGACGGGTTAGTAAAGAATATGAACTTATCTCTTGACAAGTTCAGGTTTCTCTGGAAAAATGAGTCACAAACTACTGAAAAATAAAGAAAACCTTTTGCGGGTAACTGGTTGTTTAAAGGAGCATGCATTACCCTGCAACAACTTGGGGTCTGCTCCGGCCCTTGCGTGCATTAGCTATGACACTGATCAACGCACCACCTGTGTCTAGTACTGAGTTGACACCCATTAGCTTTAATCCAAAAGTACTGATCAGATAGGCCAGTTTGCTTTCATTACTATTTTCGCCCAATTCCTGAAGCTTGTTAGCTTGCTCCCGCGAAAGAATAGTGTAAAGCTGAAGGCGATTGGTTGGGTCGTCTTCCAAGTTTTCAAAACTAACTCTGACTAATCCAATTGATATTGGATCGTCGGTTAATGGGTTGAAGACAAATGACAACTTCCCAGTTGCAATATCGGGTCTTTTGAACAGATCTTCAAGAACAACGATGTTAACTCCACTGTATCTCTGGACAGGTTTCTTCAGATAACTGCGAAAATAGTTCGCAACATGTAGAATCCGCGAGGCTTCTCTTAAACCACTTAAGTAGGCACCGTGCATTGTGGCTGGATGTTGCCTTGTTGTGGCCTCACCAGCAAAGAATAGTCGGTTTCTCACACTTTCAGCTAGGATGTCATAGTCCACGCCAGATGAACCAACCCTTACATGAGAATATGACCCATATGACAAAGGATCACTTCCCCATCTAGTGCAAACCGTCTGTATTGGGTCAGGCACAACAACACCTTTAGGACCATATATGCCTGCAAATATGTCAAAAACATTGTTATCGCGAGAAGTTGGAAGCAGCAAAGTCGATGACTAAATCAAATATTACCTCTGAGTTTTTTTAAAACACGGTGAAGTAAAACAGATGGTTCTGTGCACTCAAATCTTTGAGCAGCTTCTCCAGCAACTAAGGCAACCAAGGCAGGGCCACCAGAAACTGTATGGTAGGCATAGAACAGAAAGAACTCTCCTCGGTTGATGCTACTCTCACTGACGCATCCAAACGTGTCTAACTCGTCACCCCAGAATACAGACGGGAAAAGCATGGCAACTTTGTTCAGAAGCCCAAACCCTAACCTGTCAATGGCTGCTTGTTTTCTTCTAGGTAACTCTGGCTCAAACTTGATAGATCTTTTCTTCAAGACCCCGAGCGGCACAGTGCAAAGAATCATGTCAGCTTGAAATATCTGGCTGCCAGAAATGACTTCAACTCCTCCATCTCCATATTTAATAGTATCAACACTTTTCCCATAGATTATGGGTAAGCCTTCAGCTAATGCATTTATCAGTCTCCAGTTTCCACCGGCAAGAAAACAGTGATCCCCACCCATTTCGTAAGGATCATCTTGATCCCAATAAGCAGCTGAAAGATTCGAAAGACACCCAGCGTTAGCATATTCCAAGTTAGCAAGATGCCAGTCAAAAAGTTTTCTTTCCTCTGAATCTTTAGCTACACCATACAGTACCCTGAGAGTCTCCAAGACTTCACCCAAAGAGATCTTGTTAGCTGCCCCTTCCATCATCTCCCTCACTTCGGTGACTTTGTCAAGCAGTTTATTGAAACCAAACTCAACATTGGAGTCAGCCACCTTATCGACAAGTGCTCCTTCTGAATTATACAAAGGACAATTGTCTCTAACCTTGTGTAGAGGTATAGAAAGCTGTCTAGCAAGAACTCCAAGTGGGTTCGCATGTAGACCCGTGATAACACTGCCCCCGAGTTCAACGGCTGCAAATCTATCCTTATCTCCCATCTTCTGAGTGTACACTCGTCCACCAGGACGACTCCTACCTTCTATAACAAGAACCTTGAACCCAAATGATAAGAGCTGCCGTGCAGCAGACAAACCAGCAAGCCCAGCACCAACGACAATGACTGATCCCTCCGTACCCTCCTCAGGAATGTAAGGTGCAAACAATGGAGAAACCCCAAAATTGATGTATCCATTAAACAAGAGAAAATCATAAGCAGCTGAAATCAAATGCTCACAGTCACTACTCACAGTTTCTCTAATCTGATCTTTGAGTAGCCACATCCTGACATTACTCCTCCACCGAGCTACTATATGATTCCGAACAACAATGTAATCATTCTGCTCTTTCCCGCCCAATTCTCTTACAACCCCAGCTTGAATCTCTTCTTCAAGCAATTCGTCGATTGGGAAACCTACGGACAAGGCTATCAGAGCCTCCGTCTCGGTTTCTTTCTCCAAATCTTGCTTCGTCCTGAACTTTTTCTTCAAATTCCCACCCAATTGCTTCTCAATCAATTCATCCATCGCATTCTCATCGTAGTTCTTCCTACTTACATTTCTCCTCTTCGTTCTCCTAGTAGACGTTCCATCCAACGACGGAGTATCCATTTCCAGTCAATCCTTAACCTAGTCACCTTCGCTTCGTTTAACCTAGAAACACATCAACCCTAATCCTATTGTCGTTTCAGCGCCAGAGTTCCGTCAAACAAGCACAGAAGCAATCGAGTCCCATCTACCTCCGATCACTATATCACCTCACCTCCGAAGATTCAGGAGAATTCTATAAACGAAACCGTCGTCTTCAAACTGATCGGAAAAATCCGTCTCCCGTCGGCAAATCTTGAGCTTGCTTTTATTTATTTATCTCCGATCTTCTTCTTTTCTTCAGTTACGAATTTTGAACCAGCGTCGGCCTAACGTGGGCTTAAATGAAATGTTAGAGATATAAGCGGGTAAGCCCATTGGGCTAGTTTACTTTTAGTCGTGTGAATAAGTAGATGATATTGAAAAAAAATTGGGATGAAGATATGTAGATAGATAGTAACATGTCATTGTTGAGGTAACCAAAGCGGCCCATACAAAAAAAGAGATGTATGTAAGCTAAATTGATAATGTTGAAGATAAAGAGAACATGCATATTTATTAGCGTAGGGTCGTTGTCTCTTCTCTTGATCACATTGTCAAGGAAGATTTTGACATTTCTCCCCAGTGCGTATCATATCTCACATGGCCTTTCCACATCTCTCTACCATTCACATGTCATTTACTTTTTGTTGATCCAAATCACTCCGGCAATCAAAAGATCTCAAACCTTAAAATCTCATCCATCTTATCTACAAATTAAAAGTAGTAAAAATTGAATTATGAAAATAAATTAGTTAAAATATGAAAACTCAATGGATTTGGTTTCAGCATTAAAACTTTATGGTAACGCGCGTGTAGGAATCTTCTTCATGAGCATATGTAAGTATATCTGTAAGATGAATGATAGAGTATGATGATTGGACAATATGTGCAGGAACGTACCACACCTGTATAAAGGTGTAATAATTGGTGTGCGGAGGTTGAAAGTATAATCGTAATGATGGTTGGGATAAAATACAACCTTTTCTCATGCTAAATAGTTGTACACAGTACTGGACCTGCATCTGCATGGGGTAATAATAAAAAAGAAACGTAGTTGCAGTAGTAAGAAGCTCGAAAATGGCATGTAATGGACCCGACCATGTTTTGCATGATTTATTTATCTATCTATACA